GTCCATAAAACAGGAAACATGGTTTTGAACCACACTAGCCATTGCTACTGATTAAAGGGAGAAACAATAATGCATAGAAACAGAATGTCCTTGTATTTAGAGTGCAGATTCCAGTGAGTGGAGACAGCTCTATACCGGCGAACAGGAGTCACCTCCTGTTAAGATGGCACACATATTTTCTAGGATAAGTGTGTGCTTCAGATGTGTCCCAACAGATTAAAAAAACACCTGAAATCACTATTTCGCAGCAGTCCATAATTTCAACTCTGCATCAGGACCATTCCTAGATCTGTCACATGGGACCATCCAAATCAGATGTAATCTGCCGGTTCAGGGCAACTGTGTCCCAACAAAGCAGGTCAGATTTATCTGCCTAAAAGTGCCCTTTACAAAGTGAAGGCCAGGAAGCCTGTCACAACAATCAACAAACAATAATCAGGACAGCCAAGCTTGAGGCGCCTCTGGATTCCGAAATGAAACCCCACATCCTGAGGATGCATTCGTGAGAATGTTCTCGGCCTTGTTTCTGGAACAGTTCCAGATCTCTTTATAGTCAAGCAAGGTAACCTGTGACAGGAATTCTTCAAGGGAATCCTGTGGCTACATAAGGAGAGAACCATGCTGGGGGCTGGGGCCAGGGGCAGCTCAGTGCAAGAGGAGGCTTGTTCTCATTAACCTGTCTAAAACACTGACCAAAAGCAACTTAGGAGGAAAGAGTTTATTCGGCTTGCATATCCCAATCACCACAGTCCCTCATCAAGGAACTGGAGACAGGAACCTGGAGGCAGGAACTGAAGGGGAGACAGGGCGGAACACTGCTTACTGGCTTGTTCCCTCCGGCTTGCTCAGTTTCCTTTCTTTTACAGCTCAGCCTATCTGCTCAATGATGGCACCACCCACAGTGGGCTGGGCCTTCCTGTGCTAATTAGCAATCAAGAAAATGCCCCACAGATATGACCATGGGCCAATCCGATGGAGGCAAGTCCTCAACTGAGGCTCCCTCCTCGCAGTTCATGTCAAGTTGACATGAACCAGGAATAGCACAGGGGCCATGACCTTGAGAGAACTCTTTCCTCTGGCATCTGTGTACTGAATACATCCCCAGGCCTCAGTTCCAGCTCACAATTAGACTCTGATAAGTCTGGTTTCCAGGCCAGGATCAAGCCCTCACTAACGCTGTGGCCTATGGTGATCACTGTCATCTTTGAACCTCAGTTTTTCCATCTGAAGATGCTACCACAATCTCTGCCTCTGAGAGTGTTTGGAGATAAAGAGCAGAAAGACCACAGAAAGTAGCCAACACAATGCTGAGCAGATTGGGGTCGTCCACAAAGCTCACCTTCCCTGCCCTGGCAGCTTTACCCTGTGGAAGAAGAAACCAGGGACAGGGAGGTTGAGGCAGGTAGGGACTCAAGAAGCGAGAGAGTTGTGGAAAGGAATTGGAAGTGACTGGACAGAACAAGTCAAATAACTGTCTAGCGACGCCAAGGCCCAGCATAATCCTGCCCTGCCCTGACACGACAAATTGGCTTGAGTAGTTGGTTTTATATTTAAGGATTTGACCAGAGAGGTCACAGTTGATAGCTTTCACAGCTCGATTCACTTCTTGTGATTAGCTGTGACACGTGGAAAAGTCTAGACTCGTGAGTTAGAAATTCTTAATTACAGAAAGTTTTTCTGCTGATGTTTAAGGGAGATGGTGAAGGGGAGCAAGGAGAAAGGTGGGTCAAGAGAGTGCGTTGACATGTGAGATTTCAAGTTCACCAATGAGGAGAAGGAAGGGAGTCATCCAATGGAAGAGCAGTTTCTTTGGGAGAAACCTGCCTCTGCCCTTCTAGCTTTCCTTTATTATTTGACTTGGCAAGCTTTCCCATGAACTGACTTACAAATTCCCCTCATATCTCCCTTAGCCCAGCCTCCCTTTATTACACCATTTTACTGCTTCTCTGGGAGCGAGACTCTAAAATTTGGGTCAAAGGAGACATTAAGTTAACCACTTTAGAATACCAATAGCACTCCTGCAACGCTCTTCATCCTCATCGTGGGCCACAAACATCTCCTTCCCCACTAATGAAGATGACTTGACTATCCACAGCATCTAAAAACCACAGCTAGTTAATCATTGTCTAATGTGGGGAGTGAGACAAAATGCAAGGCCAACAAAAAAAAAAGTATTGCTGCAGACTTGCTGATTCAACCCTTTTAAAAAATCTGGAACACACAGCAGAACTTGTCACACACACACACACACACACACACACACACAACTTCCCAGTTTTGTAATGAAAATGCCCCTAAGAATAGGATGGTTTTAGCTTTCTGTTTCACAGAGTCCTTTTTCGGAATTATTTCATTTGATCTCCATGAAGACCCATGAGAAGGAAAGGAATTATCTACTTTCACTAAAACTTATCGTGGTTAATTAATCAACTCCAATGTTAAGTTATTAAATATTTGTGCTGAGACTAGAATCCCAGCCTCAAGGCTCCAAATTAGAGGTTCTGTCTAGAAGACTTCTCACCTGCGCTCTGTGGGGAAGGAAAGTCCCACCAGGGTGCCTTCAAGGGATAGTTGAGGAATCAGCAACATGCATGTTTCCCATCAATTAGAACAGCCCCATGCTGTGGGGTGGTCTTTCCATATGCTGTGAATATGTATTGCTACCATTGGTTCATAAATAAGCTGCTTTGACCTATGACAAGACAGCTTAGAGGCAGGTGGGAAATCCAAGGAGAGAGACAGGGAGGAGAAAGGCGTGGTCGGAGGAGGCTGAGATCCACTGGGGAAACAAGATGTAATACAACACAGGAAAAGCCACGAGACTTGTGGCGATACATAGATTAATAGAAACGGATTAATTTAAGATGTAAGAGGTAGCTAGTAAGAAGCCTGAGCCATAGGCCAAACAGTTTGTAATTAATATAAGCCTCTGAATATTTTATAAGCGGCCGCAGGACTGCAGATGGGAGAGATTTATCCAGACTGTGGGGCCCAGGCGGGACGGAGAAACTTCCCCCTACAGCCCCACAGTGTAGTGTAATGTCTGGGCCTTCCGTGGGGTTTCCACAACTCAGTCTCACTTCAGAAAACACGCACTTATCCTCTATTGCTCATGATCCAGGTAGGCTGTGGGCCTCATCCCAAAGTTATATGCACTGGACCTACAAAACTTTGTTCATGGACCGAGGCAGTCATGTGAGCTCTGTTGCTTGCCTCTCCCCTCCCGCATCCCAGCTCCATCATTAGTACAAAGTCCTTGTCTGGGCCACCATAGGCATGTGCTGGCCTTGGTATGAACCAACACTCTTTTTTGTTCAATGTAAGCCACACTCAGTGTATTTTCTACTTTACACCTATTTGTTTTCACCTTTATGCATAGGCTTATTTATACACAGAAGCATAATTCTACCTATACACTAACGTAAGTGTGCCCATTTCTTCTAAGGAAAATTAAACCAGATAGATACCTCATACCAAATGACTACGTAGTTTTAAAATGCTTTTAGGTCCAAACTTGGCACACATCTCCAGGTCCACCCTCCAGGGTCACTTGATTTTCGTAAGCCCGTCTTGAAAACCCTTTCCAGCCTTTAAAATTCAGCTCAAATGCCACCTCCCATGAACTCTGCTGACAGATCTCTTTGGACGGGCTCTGTAGCTCCTTCTGAAGTCTGCCCCAGAACATACCTTTCCCTATACCTCGGCATGTTATAGATGCATAATTTTGTGTAGCTATTGAGTGTCAGTTTAGTTCACTGAATGATCAGTCCAGACTCAACGGGAAAAGAACCAATGGCATTCTCATTCAATTTTTAAAACAAAATTGTTTTCAGCTAGTCAGCTAATATTTGCTGAAATATGAAATGCTTTTTTTTTTTTTTTTTTTGGCTTTTCGAGACAGGGTTTCTGTGTAGCCCTGGCTGTCCTGGAACTCTCTCTGTAGATCAGGTTGGCTTCAAACTCACAGAGATTCACCTGCCTCTGCCTCCGCCTCCGCCTCCGCCTCCGCCTCTGCCTCCGCCTCTGCCTCCCAAGTGCTGGGATTAAAGTTGTACACTACCACCACCTGGCTGAAATGCAAATTTTCAATGGTCTTATAAAATTGTATAAATTTTGCACAAACTTAGGAAACTTGATTCTGTCTATAAATTGTTTCTATGGGCCAGGCATGGTGGTCCACACCTGTAATCTCGCCTTCTTGAGATAGAGAGAGGGAGATTGCAAATATAACGACCAGACTAATTAACAGGACCCCATCTCCAAAATCTTCATTGGAAATATGAACACTTATTTCTACAGAAAAGTATATTTCATGCTCAACACACATAGAAGAGCATGCGAATGTTCATAACTGAGGAGGTTTCACCTCTAACATTTTACACAGTATCTACTGTGAAATTGGTGAGCTTTGTACCTCATTTAGAAACCATCTCCCTCATTTCCCTGATATCAGCTCTGGTCCTGCCTCCAACCCCCTGAGATTTATCCCATTTCAAGAGTTTATCTCCTTTTCTCCATTCTCCATGGTTTGTAGCTTAGAGTTTGGATCTTTGTTATGTTTCTTGTCTGTCTTGAATCCATTATTCATGTGACCGGTTTGCCGCGGTGCACCTTGCTCTCCGGGGATGAGCACCGCGCACCTCGCATTGTGATGTTGGCAGTGTGGTTTCAAAGCATGTCACCGGGCAGTGGGGCATTCTTCAGCTCCCCCTCAGGACAGCCCCTCACTTCCCATCACCCACCATCTGAGCTCAAAGCAGACAATGTCCAAATTTCAGGCTTCACAGCTTCTTTTCTCTCCTGATTCTGTTTTCCGTTCTTCTCTCCCGAGATGAAGAGAAAGGAGATAATCGTGCCAATAAAGCATCCTTTTTCATCTCCATTGTTCTTCTCGGGTGCTTCATTATGATGCGTCAATTATTCAACACTCCAGAGAGCTGCCTTTGGAGCACGAAATGTTACAGTCATATTATATGAAAATGCTTCTTTTCTGCTCTCAGGCCACGGTGGAGGCTGTGTTGTTATGCGAGGAGGAAGTCCACCGGGTCGCTGGGAAGTGAAGGACTGCAGCAACTTTAAGGCAATGTCCCTGTGCAAGATGCCAGTCAAAACCTGGGAGACACCAGAGTTTGAAGGAAGGTGGCCCTTTCACGCTTGCTATTTGGATTGGGAATCAAAGTCTGGTCTGGCTAATTGCTTCAAGGTGATGTCAAGGCTATCTGCATAGTCATTTGGTCCATGTATCCCTCTTTCTCTATTCTCAGACTTCCTTCCTCGGTGCCTGGTATACAGCACATGTACAGTCACTATCTCTCCTTATGTTTACATTCCAAATAATTCTAAATACTAAAAAGAGATGGCAGCTATTCCCAGCATCACTGAAGGCATAAATACCGTGCATCAGTATTAAACCCAAGGAAAAGGGCCCTATGCACTGGCTATCAGCCCTGGGAAAGGACTCTAAACGCCTGGCCAGTTCCTAGAACTAGTGGGAGGTTTTGTAAAATCTCACTTGCCAGAGTCCAAGTCCAGTATGGCAGGATGCTCCCTCAAGTCAGGCAAAACAACTTCAGTGTTCACAGACTGGTTGCAAGAAACAGGAGAGTCCTAGGATCCTAGAGAGCCTGTCCCTCAAGGCTCGGGAAAGCAACTCAGGGTGGCAGACGGACTCTCTTGCGACTGAAGCCCAGGGATTAGGGACACACTCTCTCTGGGCTTTATGCCTCACAAGCCACTTAGGTCCACTGTGATGAAACACCACAGGACTCCCTGCCCTGGGAGAGACAAGGACAGTTCCTCCTTTCCTCGGGGTGTTGCATTCTCCATACATTCTGGACTAGAACTGCAATCAAGAAAGAGCAAAGCAAGACCAGCCATGGTCGTGTATGGAATTGTCTTCCTCCAATAAGTACAAAGGCACCAGTCAATGCTGTTTATATTGCCAAGCATACACCAAAAAAAGGAAGCCAACACTCAGTGGGCATTAGAAATGTGCCATTCTATATCGTTTGTAAGTCCATGCATCAAGGAATTATTGTGAAATGATTCTCATACTAAGGACAGACTTTAAAGCCTGCTTGCTAATCACCTCAAACAAGGTAATACAGATAGCATATATATGTGTGTGTGTGTGTGTGTGTGTGTGTGTGTGTGTGTGTGTGTGTGTGTGTATGTATGTAAATGCTTAGAGCAAGAAGGGTTTGGAATTAAGGTGTTGAAATATTTACATATATGTAATGAGATATCTTGGGGTTCCTACTTAAGTCTAAATATAAAATTCATTTGTTTCGAATACATTATGTACACATAGCCTGAAGGTCATTTTATGCCATGTTTGGAGCATGAATTGGTCTACTTACTTACAACAGTGAGAATATCACTCATAAAAGTTTCAGATTTTAGAGTAGTCCATAATTTCAATTTCCAGATTAAGAATGCTCAGCCTATATATGAGATGTACATATGATATACATGTGAAATCCTTGAAGAAATGTATGTTTGCAGATAGGCTTTAGATCCTAGATTTAAACCAATTCTTACAATTTTATTAGAAATACCCACTTTTTAAAAATTAGTCTTACATTTGGAAGTTCGTTCTTCAGGTAGCAATTCTCCAAATCCATGGAAAAAGTTCTTCCCCATCAGCTGGACACACACAGGATGAAGACAGATAGTATCCCCAGACACTGGTACAGATGTAGCAGGAGACACAAGTGAATTCACTCCACTTAAATGTACACAAGAAATGCCTACATAGAATTCATAAACAAAAGGCCCAGACATGACCTCATGGAGCAAGAAGTTAAACTTCAGAAATGAGTAAACTGAGGCCGGTGTGATGAAGTGATTCACCCAAGATCACAATTATTTATTGACAGACTTGGAATAAATCCCTGGTCTTGGGACTCCCAGCACACTGTTGTTTTACTATCCATCATCCTGATGTGTCAACAAATGCACGGTGTGCTTGATGTGTGTGGTGGTGGGATTTATGAATTTAGAGTGATTCGGGGAGAGGTTCCCCAAGGAAGCAAGTTTTGACATATAATTTAAAAGATGGAGAGGCTGTGCTGTGGTCCACAGGACTTGGAAAGGCATTCATTCTGGTCTCAGCAAATCAGAGCCTGGAGAAAGCTGGTCGTAGAGTGTACCTGCAGCATCAGAGGGTAAAGCTTAGTGGCCTTAGTTACAAACAGCAAGGGTGCAGAGGCCCAGGATTGGCAACACTGGGTCTTCAGCTGCCTCCTGCCTGATCTTAAGACAAAAGCAGATGCTCGATCCAAGTAACTGCTTCCTGTCACCACAATAGCCAAGGAATAGCAGAGAATTTAGATATACACCATGGAGCTGCAAACTCAGCAGAGACCCAAAGACCCTAGAAATATACCTGCTGTAAGCCTTCAGCCTTGTGGATCCAACAACTCAATTGTCATTCCATGATGAATTCTGACTTGTCCATAGGCAGGCTGCCATGATGGAAATGGATGGATTCTGGAGGCAAGGAGTCCTGGGTCTAAGGCAGGTTTATAGGTGTGTGACCTGGTGTTCTTAATGTCTCTTGAACTGATTTTCCTCATATATTGACAGACATTTATTAAGAGAAAACTCTACATCTGTCGGAAGAGGGTTAGTGAAAAGGAAGCCAAGAAGGGTAAAAGGTGCCAACAGTTTTATAAGGACCGGGTGTGTTCTAGTTTGATATGTCTGACCTCTTCAGATCAGAACTTCAGTGAAGAAGAATGCAGGGACGGAAGTCTGGCTCAGTAGAAAGAGTGTGTGCTCAGTATGCAAAAAGTCTCTCACTTCTTGTCCACCACCACTCCCACCCCCAAAAAAGAAGAAAGCGAACAAACAATACTAAGCAGAACTCAGCAGCCTCGCTCCAACTGTGTTGCTCCACAGGTGTTTCACAGTGAAAAGGTCCTGATGAAAAGATCATGGAGAGAAGCTGAAGCCTTCTGTGAGGAGTTCGGAGCTCACCTTGCAAGCTTTGCCCACATAGAGGAAGAAAATTTTGTGAATGAGCTTCTGCATTCAAAATTTAACTGGTAAATATGTACTAATTCTGAGAAAATTATAGTCAAAAAATTGTCTGCTAGTAGTGACTTCTTAGGGATGAATATCCCAAGTGGTTGTTTACAACTTAAATATTTTGTTTCACGTCTAAAAAATAGCTAGTCACTGCTTGTGAAAGAAAACTATATTCTCATATAATTTTGTGTTTATATTGCACCAAGTTCACATTGCATATTGGATATTCAAACTCTTTCTGTGTGCCTTCAGTCAGATTTTGAGAGCTTGCTGTCAGCAGTATCGAGGTTGGTGGATTTCAAAGTGTTGTCTGAAGACTCTCAAGGTCTTGGGGTAAATGGGACCATTTGGGCACAGCTTCAGTTCCTTGCCTGCGACCTCCCCAGAAAACACAGTCCCATTTCCCTGACAAGGATTTCCTATGATGAGAGTCCAGTTAAAATTTGTTGGGGAGGGAAGTCCCAACAGTTTAAAACCAAATCCAGTCCAGATCTCTAATTGTATGTTTGAAGAAATCTATGTTCACTTATCGGTGTGCACCAATTGTTAGAATGCCATGCTCATGACGTTATAAACGCTTGATGTTGGTTGGTTGGTTGGTTGGTAAGTTGGTTTATTGGTTTGTTTGTGGGAATTTTTCTTCCAGTGGCCAAACCCAGGGCCTTGTGTACTCCACCACTGAGCTAAATTCCCAACCCTATCAACTGAATTTAAATTGGAAGGAACCTAAAGGCTTCATAGGACACTCTCATAAGTGAATATGTAATAACCATCATATTATTCAGCTGTAGCGTTTACAAAAATGACCTTCCAAGTGAGATCAAATATGAGTCTTAGAGTAATTCCATAGGAAAGGATTTAGTAGAGGGGGTATTGTTAATGTTCTTTGAGAGGGGGTAGGGGATACAGCATCAGAGGGATCAAATAAAACTGAAAAACAATGTACAATATTAGAAATATGGTATATAATTAATATTGTGAAGACTTCTAGCAGAAAAACCTTTCTCTGTAAAATGTTTTTCCCCCTTTGAATAAACTTAACAGTCCATGGAATTGCTAGTCCCTCCAGGAACCACTGACTGAACCCTTGGTTCCAGACAGAGCCTAGATACTGGGTCTCTTGAGATACAGAGTCTTCTATGGCACCTCAGACTTGGTCAGGATGGTGTCAAAGAAGCCTCCCCATTGGCTGGATTGCTTGCCAGCTGCGGAGGACAGCTTCCAAAGTCCTATGTTCTATTGCACTTTGATATGTTAACCCCTTGCAAGACATGCCCCCACATCAGGTCACAAACGATTTTCCTTTAAGATCAAATGTACTGACATTCTTTCTGTTCACATAAGTGTCCACACTTGAAGTTCCTAGTAGAATTTTGTGCATCTTTCAAATTATTGATCTTTAGCATCTAAGCACCAAAGTTGTATAATGTATGCTTTATTTTTGCCCACACTGCTAAGGGAATTCAGCTGTGTCAAATGTGTGTTGTTTAAAAATCACACAATTGAGAAAATTAGTGGAGAGGACATAAATATCAATTTGTCTTCCATGAGCCAGTAGAGCAGGAAAAACAAAGAATGCTGAAATCAGTGAGGAAAGTGATGGAAAGTTCCCAGTGTAGGGAGAGTGAAGTTGGTTTCTAGCCTGTGCCCTGGAGATGCCTGACCTTCTAGAGGTCACCCTCACCTTCTTAGAAGTATGGCATCACCAATGGCCACCCAGACACCAGTGACCTCAGATGCTCTGACCTGCACTTGACTTTGGTCTCTGTTTTTCACATGTAAGAAGTGACCCTGCAGAATGGTCATGCTTTTCTGTGCTAAGTAGGGGAAAGCATCTGTCACAACTTCTGAGTCTCTTAAATCTTTAATTCTTCAAAATTATTCTCAGAAAATTATCCTAGTGAGATGGCTCATTGTACAATTAGGCTTTATTGCTTGATTTATTGAGTACTCTGCAATTTGACATATTTGTGCTCTGCCTAATAGAAGGGACGGGGATTCTCTGTGAAGCTTCTTGCCAAGTCTAAACCAGTGGTGACTGTTCAAGTTAATCTACCATGGCCCGGGCTGATTGGCCACAGAGTCATTTATGTTGGAAACTGGGGGGTAAAAAAAAAAAAAAATCCCTAAACCTTCTGTGTACCCTTTGTTACATGGGGAATAATAGTGATCAACTTTTAGAAAATACACAAATAGTTGATAAAGGAGCAACAAATCAAACCACAGTAAAACAGCACACAAGAAGAGTAAAGCAGTAAACCGTACAGCAGTTAAAGTCATCCAGAGATGCTCTGCTCTAGGATGTCCTAGCAGCTCCTTTCGGTGTGCTCATGACCTGATTGAAAGGCATTTCCATTCTTATGAAAAGCTCCTGTTCTCAGTATAGGCTGATTCTTCTCCCTGTCTTAGTTAGGGTTTCTATTGTGCTGAAGAGACACCATGACCACCACAACTCTTATAAAGGAAATCATTTCACTGGAGCTGGCTTACAGTTCAGAGGTTAGTCCACTGTCATCATGATGGAAAGCATGGTGGCATGCAGACAGACATGGTTCTGGAGAATTAGCTGAGAGTTCTACATCTGTATCAGCAAGCAGCAGGAAGAGAGGGAGACACTGGGCCTGGCTTGAGCTTCCAAAACCTCAAAGTCCACCCCCAGTGACATAGTTCCTCCATTAAAGCCGCACCTCCTAGCAGTGACATTCTTTACGGGCCTGTGGGGGCCATTTTCATTCAAACCAACACACTCTTCATTGTGCATGAGCCCAGAGCAAGCCACAGGAGTATGTGAGTCTCAATGTCTCCTCTCATTTCAGAGCACAGGGTTTTGCATATAAAACAATGTTTGATCCATTGATGTCAACTTGCCGCATCCTGCCAATTAGCATCAGCTCTTTCCTGTTCACATAAATGTTTTACCATATCTTAGAACCTTTCATCTCATGCTGGGAATGAGATTGTTAAGACAAAGCTTTTGTTTCTTCTCCTTCTAGGACACAAGGAAGGCAGTTCTGGATCGGATTTAATAAAAGGAACCCTCTGAATGCTGGTTCTTGGGAGTGGTCTGATGGGACACCTGTAAGTCTGTTCAAACTAAATACAGGAGATGAAGTCAAGCCAGGTGGTACTGGACCCCTACTGAGTCAAACAACCAAGAGAGCCTGGAAGCAGCTGTAGCACCTTGGCAAACTTACATTAGGTCTTAGCCATGACAGCAATTGTACCAAGGTCCTGGGAAAACCAGGGCGACCACACTGTTCTGAGACCCCAATATTCCATCCTGAGAAGAAATCCAAAAATACTCCCCTAAACTGCCTCCCATTCAGAGAAACAGCTGCTCTTTACAATAATACCCGGATTCTAATCCAGCCCCCCCTTTCCTACACAATGACTGTGTGAGTATGGGGCCTTTGTCCATGTCACAGTGAAAAACTATTGGGGAGCTTATGAGATAGCTTGGTGAGTAAGCATGCTTTACAACCATGAGGATCAAATCTCCAGCACCCATATAAAAAGGCAGACACAACTGCACCCAACTTCACTGTTGGAGAAGAGAGAGGGTGGATCTCTAGAACCTGCTGGCCAGCCAGCCTGGCCAGAATGGTGAGTTTCTGGCTCAGCATGAAGACCCTATGTCAAAGTGATAAGGTGTAGAGAGGGCAACACAGAGGAAGACACAGGACATCCTTCTCTTGCCTCTGCCTGCTTGCCCCTGCTCCCCTCCACATATACGGAAAGAAAAAAAAGAGAGAGAGAGAGAGAGAGAGAGAGAGAGAGAGAGAGAGAGAGAGAGAGAGAATTTTTATGAATGGTTTTTATTCTCTCTCTGAAAAGGGGCAAATGTTGTCACCCTTCTTAGTCAGACACGGTAGTTCCAGAAGTGGGGAAAGCATTGCTTTCGTTCCACCCCATACTCAAAGACCTCTGTGAAGGTTTGCAAGGACCCGGATGTTGCATTGTTTTTTCAGGTGCAGGATTTCTCAGATTTTCATCAAGGTGACCAGGAAGATTACATGATACCATTTCAACTCTGAAAGGGGGTGGTTAGGACCAGCCTTCAGGGAACATCTGAGGCAGCTGCTGTTTCCCAAACCTTCCTAACATTCTGTGGACTAGGTGCATTGCACATGATCACACTCTGTCCTTCCAGTCGCTCGCCCCAGTGGACAATAGAACAGTTATTCCACCTGAGATATTACAGAGGGCAGCCAGGTTCTGCATACAGTAATCTGACTCTGAAGCTACAGTGCTTTGACATTTCCCAGTTTGTCAAATACTGGCAGCCAAAGATAAAGACCAACGAAGAAAAAAAAAGCCTATTCAAAGGCTGAGGTTCAAATTTGTAGCTGAGAAGGGATTTACAAGAAAAGGAACAAAACAAAACAACAAAACCCTTTGCTTCTCCAGGGGACAATAATAACAAAGAAATGCTAGTTGAAAAATGATACTAACCCCATTTTCCACTCCAACGTTGCTTCTTTGGAAAAGGGTGTCAAGAACAGAGAGTGGAAAGAGGCCATAGAGAGGGTTTGGGTCCCTCAGCTGTGCCCATCTGTTTTGCTAATGAAGAAACCAAGGCCCAGAAACGGAAGGGATGCTGAGGCCATTTCCCACTTGGGAAACAAAGTGTGATGCATAGAAGTTGAGCTACTTTGGTTTGTTTTAGTTGCTCAAACTAATTCATAACAGGAGAGGGACAATTTGCTTAAGAATAAACGAGACTAAGTGAAGGGGTGCGCTGAGGCGCTCAGCAAAGCCCACCCGACAAAATAAATTATAACTCATGCCATTCTCCAAACAGGAGGATAGATACATTAGATGAATTGATACATAGCTTTGTGCATATTTAAATAGTTCAAAATGCCAGGCGATGGTGGCACACGCCTTTAATCCCAGCACTTGGAAGGCAGAG